ATTGCATCGAGAGAAAAAGCATATAAATGGAGAGGTTTGGTGCATTTATCATGGCACGAATGGTATTTCGCGTGGCATTTGGCATGGTCTCGATTCATTGTCAAAAACTACGTAGAAATTGTAACAACTACCAGTGATTGAAATATAAGAACATTATTGTTTTTTTAACAGGATCGCCGAGTATTCTGATAATCTGTTATAAATAAAATGTGTAGAATTAATAAAAAAAATTTTTTTCGACGAAGAATATAATATTCTTGGCATACAATCATGATTTTTTTAATTTTTCTATTTCGATATCAGAGAAACAAAATTCGTATGAGAATAAACTCGCGAAGTAACTTTCGTATTTGAACTTTCGTGATGAAAAATCTGATTTAATTTTTATTATACAGAGAATATAATATTCGAAATTATTAGATCGAAATATCACGTTACGTTATCGGAATACTTTTTGTTTTGTTTTCTTTTGTTTTTGTTAAATAAGGTTCTTAGAAATTTCAATCCACAGAACACGGCAACGTGATTAATATTTACTTTCGATGAACGCGCTTTACGTACACAAAGCCTGACTCAGCTTGCTCTAGCCTCACTTCCGTGGCAATTAAAATATTCACGGCAACAACGTAAGTTTCGACTTGGATAGTTTTTTCCTTTTATTTTCGTTTTCGCCCGGCCTCGAGCCTCGAAGTTCCATTAAAACTTGCTCGAAATTCGTTTCGAATGTTAGTCACGAGCACAGCCACCAACTTGGCGGATACTCGGCCGCCGGCATTTGCATACAGTATTACATACACACGTGTACACACACCCACCCACACACACACCGAATTTAAGTTTATTCGCCGCAATTTGATACCGGATCTTATAATACGAAACCGATTACGCGCCATTATACCAGATCGGTTTTCGAAATAATTTCATGGAATTCTAAATGGCGACGTTTCCATAAATAGACGCGTGATTTACTAGTTAATACGTCCATTACACTAATTACCACGTAACCGCTAAACACGTTCACGCGAGAAACACGTGGAATATATCGAGCCTCTTTACGCTCGAAATCGTTGTACGCCAGTTTCAAATATCGAACCGCGTTTTGCAAATTCGACGTTTCTTCATCGGGCGAAAAACGAAAACGTTTTTAAAAGGAATCTCTGAGATTCACGGGATAGAGAGAAAAAAACAGAGAGAGCAGAAATTATTCCAAGAGAGAAAGAGAGAGGGAGGGAGAGAGAGAGAGCGAATAAACGAAATTTTAAACGGGATCGAGAGCAGAGTGTTTAAACGGCCGATTTCCGATGTGTGTTGCAGCCGCTCAGGCGAAAATCGTGGGCCCGGAAGACGTGTACGTGAAGAAGGGTAGCACGATAAGCCTCACGTGCACCGTTAATGTGCAAAGTACGCCGCCCAGCAGCGTTTCGTGGCATCACGGAGGAGATGTGGTGGATTTCGACAGTCCCAGGTACAAGCCACGAGAATCAAGTTCTCGAGTTTTCCCCGTAAATGTCCCTCACCCCTCGCCACCGTGCATCCCTCGCCAACTGGGAGGCAGAGGAGGCGAGAAAATTTCCCTTCCGTTCGATTGCCTTGCGTTACGATTATCGCTGGTGCACGTTGTGAGAAAGAGATGCATCGAACGTGATGCACCATCCCTATCCCTTCCATCTTTTTCCATCATCGTGAAAAATTAGAGGAATCGTAAAGATCCTATTTATTTCGGAGAATGTTTTGTTATTCGAACATCGACAACGTCTTCTCGCGATCTCCAATCGGTTGGAAGATGATCGCTTTGTCTCGCGAATCCGTATGGAAATAGGTGAGAAGGAGAAGTTGGAAAGGATGAAACTCGGTTGTACCCTTCGAAGCGTGTCGAATCAGAGTCGAACTCGAGAACGCGTGTCGATGCATCTCGCGACGGCAAGACGAGCAGCAAATGGGCAGTTGGTGCACCCTTTAGAGACAGTTAAGTTCCCTTTTTAACAAATTACAACGTGTGTGCACAGAAGCAAAGTATCTTTGATAATTCAGCGTTCACCGTAGGGGCGGGGTTTCCTTGGAGACGGAGAAGACGGAAAGCGGCACGACGAGCAGACTTCTGGTGACACAAGCCAGATTGACCGACAGCGGAAATTACACCTGCATTCCCAGCAACGCGAATCCAGCCAGCGTGATGGTCCACGTGCTGAATGGTAAGAGAGCCCTTTTTATTCCCTCAACTCTCGTTCGACCGACCCAACCTCTCCTCCTCTCTCTCTCTCTCTCTCTCTCTCCTTCAGCCCTATTTCCCTCATGGGTCCCACTCCGTCATGGCTTAACTTAATTTCTTCCGGACTCGAGAGCGACGATCAGTCTTGCGCCTAGACGTAGCTGCGCCGTGACACACAAGTTTCTTAATATTGATCCATACTCTTCTTCTTGTAACGCTGTTTATCCTTTAAGAAGGAATGTCTAAAGGATAAAAATTGTTTTTTCTCTTCGATTCTTCGATTCTCGTTCAAACGCCGACAAGAATTAAACGCGTATCGAAATTACAAATTAGGTTACGAATTCAATGCGTCCTGTATGAAATACACTGTAATTTATTAATAACGAAATTAGCAAATTCGGTTAATAATCCATTCAATTATTACAACGTGGAATTATTTCGATTAATTATTATTAAACCGATTACGAGCGAAGGGTTTGAAATACACGGTTTAGAATGTTATATATATATATATTGGTGAAAAGAGTATTAAAAAAAAAAAAAAAAAATAGTGCGTTTC